AAAATAAATGTTTTCTTCCCAAAGTTGCTTTGGTCAGATATTTTGTCACAGTGGTGAGGAAAGTAGCTAGTAGAGAAAACAGATACTAAGCAGTAGGGTCATTGATGTGCTAACCCTGACCGTGCAGTGCATAGGCCTTTGGAACTGGTTTGTGGGAGAAATGGGCTATGGTCTAAAGAATCCCTAGAGTACTGTCTGCACAACTTAAGGGCAAATTCTGTCAGAATTTCAGAACGCCAGAATGCTGATAATATGCCTGCAGAGATTCCTGAGGGGAATGAGGACTCTAATTGGAATTGAGTGAGAGGCTATTACTGGTACATTCTAACAAAAAGTCTGGCTGTATCCTGCCCATGTCCTGAAAACTTGAGACTGGATTTTAAAAGAATATATTGACCTGCTTGGCAAGTGAATTTTCAGGGTAACATTCAATCTGTGGCATAGTTATCACTTGCTGCTTTTAGCCAGATTTATGGTGAGAATCTGGAGCAAAAAGTACCACAGAAAGTTGTGAAAATGTGCAGTTTGGGAGAGTGTGTTTAAAGCTACAGACAGGTGGGTTCAGTTGTTAAAGAGGTTGGTGTGATTAAAGAGTAGCCATACACCTTGCCCTGGCATAACAGGAAATGTCTCTTGAGGGTAACACAGCATCCCAGCCAAGGTTCCAGGGTGCAAAACTGCAAATTCATTAACTCATTTGGAAAACCTTCATTTAAAGAGAGAGTGCTTGCCTGGTATTGTGGTGCACAACATTAACCCAGCACTGGGGAGGCAGAGGCAGGCAGTTCTCTGTGAGATCAAGGCCAGCCTTGTCTACATAGCAAGTTCCAGGTGAGCTGGGGCTGCAGAGATACCGTCTCAAAAAAATTAAATGAAGAAAGAAAGAATTCTTAAGAAGATTGGACCTCCAGGGCATCCGGCTCAAACAGGCCACCTAGGGAGATATTTTCCCAGGTTCAGCCACACAGGCACTCAGAGGGGCCTGCAGCCATGACCCAAGGGGGCCAGCCTAACATCAAGCTGGCTACAGAACTTTGTATCATACACCTGGTTGTAGACAAAAAGAATTCAAGAGTTATGGGGTCATGGAATTTACACCAAGTTTCCAGAAAAGAAGTCTAATGCCAAGGCAAAATGTTGCAGCACTGGATTGCCTAGATGGAGCTCTTAAGAGAGATCCGCTTAGGTAAAGCCTAAATCGTAATAAGAGACCCCAGAATATGAGCCATCTACCAAGGAAAGCTGTAAACACTGAGTGGAATCAGCCCAAGAGAGAGGTCGCACATGCCAAGGGCAGCAGAGACACGGGAGTAGAACTGACTATTCCCACTGGTGCCCACATGATGCCACCACTTGCTCCAGCTGGGTTTGTGTGTCCTGCTGTTTTGGGGTCTTGCTCTGGTCCAGTCTTCTCTTGCTCTCCTCTGGTTCCTCTCTTTCGGAATGGAATGTTTCTCTCTGCACTATTGTATATTGTAATATGTACCCTGTGTTTTGATTTTTGTAGGGGCTCAATCCTAAGAGTTTGCTTTGGGTCTTGGAAGAGACTCTGGACTTTGGACCTTTGAGGAGTATTGGGTCTGTGAAGACTATGGAGACTATTGGAATAGATGTTCATTATGAGATGGCCACGAGCCATGGCAGGAGCAGAATGTTATGGTTTAAATGTAAAATAATCCCCATAGGCTCATGTGTTTAAACACATGGTACCCAGCTGGTGATCTGTTTGGGATTATGGTACCATAGAGATATGGAACCTAGTTCATGAATGTAGGTCATGTAGGAGCAGACCTTTGAGGACTATAGCCTGTCCCTGTTTCCAGTTTTATTCTTTATTTCCAGAGCCACTGAGATGTGGAAAGTCTCCAGCACACACTTCTGCCACCAGGCATTCTACTGCACCTTCCATAACAAGATGGATTGAAACCATGAGCCAAAATAAATTTGTCTTTCCTTAGGTTGCTTCAGACAGGCATTTTTTTCACAATTATGAGAAAAGTATCTAAAACAACCAGGGACTCTTTTCAAAGTAGTTTAATGAAAGGAATTAAAATATTTCCACAAAAATGAACAAGAAAGGCATGAACAGGGAGATAGAGAGCTACAGTGATTAAACTTATGACACGTACACTCAATCCCTTAAAACCACCCACTGAAATGTCATTTGCTATCCATTGACTTGGCAGATACGTGAACGTTTGGTTGTAGAAACAGTCCTTCTCAGACATTCTTAGTCAATGCCAGACTTCCCCGTGAAAGAGAATTTGGTAATATATTATACGTTTGTTTTCTTTTTTACTATTTTTTGAATTTTGTGTGTTTCATATACAACATCTTAATCATCTATATCCTCCTTCCCCATTGGCGCCCTCCATAACCCCCAATGGATTTCACTCATTCTGTCATTTATGCTAAGGCCTATTGAGTCAAATTCGTGTCCCCTGACATCCCTCAGTACAAGTTCATCCACTGGGGTCTAGTCAGTCTTTCTAGAGTCATTCCTTTAGAGAAGATCAGCTCTCCCTCACCAAGTAGTAATCAGCTTCCCAATAGTTCTTCAGGAACTTATAGCAGTGGTGACAGCATGCATAACACCCATGCAAACTCAGCATAGAGCTGTGGAAATGTGTTTGTTTTCTAAGACTGATGTAACCAATTACCACAAGTCAGGTGGTTTAAAGCAACAAATAAAATCTTCCCAGTTTTGGAGGGCTAAGTTCAAGATCAAGGTATTGGCAAGTTTGTTCTTTTCAAAGGCTCTGAGAAAGTGACCATTCTGTGTCTCCCTCCAAGCTTGGTGACTGTCAACAGCTCTTGGTATAACCTAACTGTGGGAACCACTCCAATTTCTGCCTCCATCTTCAAGTGGCCTTTTCCTGTGGCCCCTTTCTGCCTCACATCACCCTTTGTCTTTCTCTTACAAGAACACCCATCATCAGAGCCAAGGCCTTCCTTTAACCCACCACGATCTCTTCTCATCCTTTACTCAATTACACCCACCAAAGACCATTTTATCAAATTCAGTCACATTTGCATGTTCTCAAGCTTAATTCTCAGAATATCTTGTGGAGTATCACTATCATAAACCACCTTATCATCTCTAAGTTTTTCCAGATAAAAATTAGTATAGCCAAATCACTTAATCTTTAAAATCCTTTAAACATTGTAACTTCAAAAGCTAATAGAATGATGTATATAGTTTACATAAAAACTTAAATCTATGTGTGTGTGTGTATGTGTGTGTGTGTGTGTGCACATGCATGTGCCAATTCTAGGGTGTGTACTAGTGTCCTCTCTCACATTTAATGTCCTTGCTTAAATATATATTAAAAACTTTTTCTTAAACTAGACCAACTTTGTCTAAAGTTGTCTAAAAATATATATATACATATATTATATATATGTGTATTTTTTTAAACAGAAGTACATTTACCACTGATTCAGGAGTCCCACTTTGGAGAATTTAGTCTAAAGACATGCTTCTAGCAATTTGGAAAATAATCTCCCCCAAATTATTTGTAATTGCAAGATATTAAAAATTACTTAAAAGTCCAAACATGAGAAACGGGTTAGACAAACACTACAGTGCTGTGAAGTTATTAAAAAATGAATGAACGCCTGTGAGTAATTTCATAAGGAATAAAAGGAACTAAGGAAGCATGGACATATATGTTTGTTCTTACATAAAGAACCACAGGAAGAAGGAATGAGAAAGAAATCACTAAATGACATACAAGAGCCTGGAGGAGGTTCGAGAAGGGACGGGGCGGGGTGGCACACCTCTTATGTATCTTTTTATATGGCTCGGACTTTTGGAATAACATTAGCACTCTACGTACTCAACGACACAATTAAGATGATAAAACTCCTAAAGCCAAAAAAAATAAATAAATAACTCAAACACATTTCAAACAGACAGCATAACCATACAGAAGGGAAAAAAGGAATTAAGCTACGGATCTTTTGAGCGTGATACTTGGACCATATGCTCCCACTTTTAAGAATAAAAAACTGCCAGGGCTGGAGAGATGGCTCAGCGGTTAAGAACACTGGTTGTTCTTGCAGAAGACCCGGGTTCGAATCCCAGCACCCACATGGCAGCTAACAACTGCCTGTAACTCCAGTCCCTAGGGATCCGACAGCATCGTCTGACCTCCGCGGGCATTGCACGACACGAGTGCACTTACCTATATGCAGGCAATACACACATACACATAAAATAAAAATAATAAATAAAATAAAATCTAAAAAAAATTTAAAACAAATGTCAGAGCTTTCTTTGCAGATTTGCTTTTCTAAATGGAACAAGCATATGATATTGTGATATTATTTATATGCTTGATTAAAGAATGGAAACGCAAAAAACCTGGACCAGAAAAGCAAGGAAAAAGGCTGAGGGTGCAACTCAGTGGTACAGTGCTTGCCTAGCATGCATGAGGGAGAGAGAGAGAAAGAGAGAGAGAGAGAGAGAGAGAGAGAGAGAGAGAGAGAGAGAGAGAGAGAGAAGAGAGAGAGAGAGAGACAGAGACAGAGACAGAGACAGAGAGAGACAGAGAGACAGAGAGAGAGAGAAACAGAGAGAGACAGAGACAGAGAGAGACAGAGACAGAGAGAAACAGAGAGAGACAGAGACAGAGAGAGACAGAGAATCAGAGAGAGACAGAGACAGAGAGAGACAGAGACAGAGGGAAACAGAGACAGAGAGACAGACAGAGAGAGACAGAGACAGAGAGAGACAGAGACAGAGAGAAACAGAGAGACAGACAGAGACAGAGAGAAAGACAGAGAGAAACAGAGAGAGACAGAGAGAAACAGAGAGACAGAGACAGAGAGACAGAGATAGAGAGAGACAGAGAGAGACAGAGGGAGACAGAGACAGAGAGAGATTCAGAGAGATTGAGAGATGTGGTGTTACCATGCCACATTACAGTTAACACTGAATAATACAGCCTGACCCTTAACTTGAGTTTCTAAGAATGGGACAGATTTTGGAGGGCATTCGTTCCCCTAGCTGTTTCTTGGAACTGTGCTGCGGAGTCAGGCCTCCCCCATACTGGTATTGCAAACTGTTTCTCCAGTTTTTTTCAACTGGGTAACTACAAACTTGAATCCACCCTTACAAGACAACCTGCCTTTTCACCCCTAGTTCTAGAGCATCTCATACGCACAATATCAAGCATTCTTCTCAATCTTCATTGTTTTCAGTGAAGATGCGTGTGCCACCTTTCAGTGCTTTGATGTGTTAATTCTCAAACATACATTCATTCATTATCTTTGGGTGGAACAGCAAATTCACGTTCTGAGGAATCAAGGTCAGGTGCTCAGGTCATAAGAGCACATGGGTCAGTAGCTTTGTAGTTTTTGGTTGTAGGGTTAATATCATTAGTTCAGATTCTGTCCATTTTATAAATGCCCTTCCTACAGAGAGTGAAAGAAAATGAGATACAGAGAAAAAGGGGGTGACAGGGAAGGAAGAGAGAGAGGGAGGGAAGGAAGGGCAAGGGGGGAGGAAGAGAGAAGGGAGGAGAGAGGAAAGAAAGGAAGGAATGGTCTTTTGGGAATGGATGTGAACTGGAGGTATGAACTCATAGCTTAGAAAGACACACAAATGGCATTGAATGTACTTGAGTCCATGAATCTATTCTAATAGTGTTAAAAAAATATGTTTACCCCTAGCAAAACAGTATAGAAGCAATGTTCAGTGTGGTAGATACAAGATGGAAACTTCCTCGGAAATGCTGGGGGATAAAGCAAGTGACATTGTCCCCTACAAAGAGAAGACATTCTATAACCTCTGTGTGCATTCAGCTCGACCTGCCTGCTGTTATCCTGAGCCATAACCACAATTGCTTTGGAGTGGCCCTAGTCAGTTTACCTGCGTAGATTCCCAGCTTACTATAAACAGGCAACATGGAGTTTCAACAAGACCTAGGTACAAGGAATGGAACTGACTCTCTGATACCAATTTAAGAAGTTATTCCAGCTTGAAGGCACCCAGCAAAAAGCACAAATGAAAACCACTCACCTCGATAGACTTGTCTGATGGGCTCTGCAATGGCCCCTCCTCTGGATGACCGCTACCTCTATCCTGTCCACTGAGTGATGTCGGAAACAGCACCAAGGCAAACCAATCATAACAAGGCAATAATGATCTTTGATTAAAAATAATAATAATAATCTTGGCCGCTGTGGTGGCACACACCATTAGTTCCAATAGTCCAGAGGCAGAGGTGGGTGGATCCCTTTGAGTTTCAAGCCAGTCTGGTCTATATAGAGAGTTCAAGGCCCACCAGGGCCACACAGAGGGGCTGTCTAAAATCATCATCATCATCACTGTCTTTCTTGAGATTTGAAAGATACCAGCCAGTGATCACATGTCCCCTGCCTAAACCACTCTTGAGTCTGCTTCCTGGTGAGATGGCCCCCCAGAATGACAGTCTTCTATTTTCCAACCAGCTAGTCTGCTTGACCAAGTTCTTCCTTACCACTCCCCCACCCCATCCTGTGCAATGACTAGCCTCCATCATGTGATGAGCAGACAGAATGCATCTGTTTTAAAAGAAGTTCTGCCTTCACGTTATAGTTGGAGCATGGTTAATGTTTTCAATTCTGTGGGAAGGCTGTGTTAATTATAAGTCTCGCTTCAAGAATAGGACAGGACACACAATAAAACTTATATAAAAGTCTGGTAGGTGGAGAAGTTGCAAACTGAAGAGTGTTCTCCAGCCCTGACTCTGAGAGCTTGGGGATCGGTCTCAACACTGAGAAGCGGAACACTGACTTGAAACAGGATTTGTGTTGTAAGCAGCAGTCCAGTAGAGCCCTATCTCCCCCACTGGCCTGAAAGATCCTTGGAATAAGATAGGTCTTAAATTTCACCCTGAATCCATTCATGGTGCCCAGAAGCAGCCATGAGACCCACCATAAGCTTCTCTCTAGAACCTTCATCCAACCCCAGGAAGACTGAGTCTTGGGACTGAGTCTCTCTTGGTGAGTTCTGGTCATGGGACCCCAGAAGGAGATAGAGAATACCAGAAGCCTTCCTCTAGGTCTTTGGTTTTTCAGAAACTCTACCATTTCCCAGCAGAGTGTTAATAAGTAACGGTCCTGAGAGGCATCATACTTTGGAATAACAAATATTTGCTGAAGACTTTGGCCTGGCTTTGCTGTTTCCTTTGAATGATCTTCCAAGCACCAGAGGTCCTGTGCTGGTAAGACATGGCAGATGGCAGGGAGCCCTCCAGAGTGTCTAACGGGGATGGATGGAGAGAGGAGATGCTGTTAACCATCTCCTAGTAGGCTCCAAGGTAAAGGGTGGGGGGCTAGGCATATGGAGTCTTCAATCCTAGACTCACTAGGACTGTAAATTGGGACAACATGAAAGGTGGGTAGAACACAGAGGAAAGGGGAGGCCAACAGAGGGACTCTGAAGGTTTGGTGTTTCTCCGCCACTGCTCACTTCCCAGGCAAGCGAGCCTGGCCCTCCAGGGCTGGAGGGGGTTGGGGCGGCACTGCTGCCCAGTCAGGGCTGAGTGGCAGGTGAACAGTTGATTTCCCACCGTTCTGGCTCCATCTGGGAAGGTACATCCTCAACATGTCTGATGATGCCCTACTCCAAGGTGCTTCCTGTGTGTATTCCAGATGGTCCCCATGATGAGCAAAGGCCTGAAAGTACAGGTTACACCATTCAGGAAGCAGGTACAGAAACAGCCAGGTGTTACTGCAGCTACGCAGATTTAAAGAGGAGCTTCAAGAACAGTGGGACGTGGCACTGGGAAGGGGTGATATGGAGTTGGTGTCCTGGCACAATCTCCTGATGGCTGTGGCCGAGAGAAGCAGCTATGAAGTCAGGACTACTAGAGCTAAATACAGTGATAGACTTGTCCTGGTTGGCTCAGGCTGTTGGAACAAAATACCAAAGACTGGAGGCTTAATAAACATGTTTGCGCAGTTCTGGAGACCCAAGGTGAGGGGCAGCGTGGTTGGGCTGTGGTGAGGGTCCACTTCCTGGTTTCCAGACAGTCATCTTCTCAATGCATCCTTCCTGGAGAGAGGATCTGGGGTCTCTTCCTTTTCTTATAGACACTAACCCTATTACCAGCACCCCACCCTTATGATTTCATCTAACCTAATCACCTCTCAAAGACCCCACCTCTAAATACCTTTATCTTAGCTGGAAGGGCTTTGATTATGAGTTGTGGAAGGATCCAGATACTCAATTCATATTAATAATGCAGGATGAGGGTGGGGACATTTGGTACATGGAAGGAAGTACTGATAACACAGCAACAGGGTGACCTACTGAGCGTGGACTGTTCATTAGGACTGGTAGTATTTCCTTAATGGTGACATGTGTGAAACCCAGATCAGAAGGTAGGAGGACCTGGATTCTATGGCATGTTCAGCAAAGCAAATGGCGATGGACTGTGTCCTGGGGCTGGATGTGAGTTTGTAACAGGGCAGAAGAAGACTGGGAGCATCTGGGAGCTTCAAGGAGCATCTCCTTGTCACATTTGTCTCAGAGTTCTGAGGTCAGAGTGAGGGGCCTTACTGATGGGAACTGTCACAAGGCCAGAGCATCCCCACACCTACTGGCCTGGGTATCCTGCTCCAGTTGGGTCTCTGCAAAGTGAAAATGGAAGACTGGGGATGTCTTGGGGGCACCCAGGGGGCCTGTGGGACAGTGGTTGTATGGCTGAGCACTGCGGATGGACACGATGTGATGGCACAGGTCCAAGAGCCAGACTCTGGGTCTGAGGACGCAGAGGAAGTACAGAGAAGTAGCAAAGTAGGGCGTGGCTGGAAGTGAGGGGCTTGGGGTCAGAGAGAGAGTTACTGCCAAAGCAGGAATCAGGCTCTACCAGGCCACGGAGCTGGGGCAGTGAGAGGAGCCATGAGGCTGCGTGGCTTGAGCCCAGGTCTTGTGTCATGTCCCCTGCTGCCATCCTGGAAGCTGCAAGAAGAGGAAGGAAGACCTACTAAGAACTCTCACAGTAGGCGGTGTGGAGGAGGATTTTCACCACCTTTCCTTTTCCTTGGCTGATTCCTTCTGGGACCCTACAAATCCCCAGCCAAATGAGTGACACTCCAAGGTCCTACGGAGTCTGGTCTTTGGAGGGGCGGCTTGATGTGCTTTATGGCCAAATGACCAAAGGTAAAGCCTGAAGCAGCTCGGTAAATGCCCCAGGCTCCCACCTGATGCCACTCTGAGGCCCACCCAACCTTCTCCACCACCGAAGAGGGCTGGACTGTGGCCCTCTTGGAGAAAAAGAATGAACAGAAAGTAGGTGAGGGGCCACAATCTGCCTGAGGCCAGGAAGGAGATGGGACTTGGAGGGAGTCCTGTTGTCCCTCCTCGGTGAATCAGCACTGCCCTCTCTGCTGTAGTCGCCCTCCAGTAGGGCTAAAGGTGAAGCCCATACCCGGCTTTGCAGGAAGAAGGGGGTGAGGGGTGTCACGAGAAAAATGTTTGACTTGCAAAGAGGAGATGTTTTATCAAACATCGAGATCATCTGTTCCCTTTTCTTCCTAGGACAAAGGGAAGTGACCCCTGGCTTCCAACAGCTGACCACATGAGGGTGGTTTCAAGCCTGCTGCTTCCTATCCTCCTAGCAGAGGTGTGGCTGGTGACCAGTTTGACCCTCGGCCCCCCTTCACCAGAGGCCCAGGCAGGGCTGGAGGCTCCTCAGAAGCAGACTTTGGAGGACATGTGGGCTGTCTCCAGTCATGAAGAAGCCTGGCTGAGGCTTCAGTTGTCCAACGCAACTTCAACCTTTGGGTTCAGCCTGCTGAGAAAGATCTCCATGAGGCACGATGGCAATGTAGTCTTCTCGCCTCTTGGTGTGTCCGTGGTCATGGTGGGCTTGATGCTGGGGAGTAAGGGGGAGACCAAAGCCCAGATAGAGCATGGGCTCCACCTGCAGGCCCTGAGCCGGGAGGGACCCTTGATCCTGCCAACCCTCTTCAAGAGGCTTAGAGAGACCCTCTCCAGCAACTGGGAGCTGGGCTTCTCCCAGGGGAGCTTTGCCTTCATTCACAAGGACTTTGATGTGAAGGAGACCTACCTCAATCTATCCAGGAAGTATTTTGATACCGATTGCATCCTTACGAATTTTCACAATGCCTCCCAGGCCAAAGGGCTCATGAACTATCACATTAACAAAGAGACTCGGGGGAAAATTCCCAAGCTCTTTGATGAGATTAATCCAGAAACCAAATTAATTCTGGCGGATTACATCTTGTTCAAAGGTACTTTGATGATCTTCTGTTATCCCAAAGCCAGGGGGACATCTGTCTCTCCGTTTCCCTTCTCTGGCCAGCATGGTTGGTGTTAAAGGACACTCTGCAAGCTTGACTTTGGGCTTTGCAGATTCAGCGTGCACTAAGGTGGGGCAGACACTTTCTCAGAGCCCCCTACCCTCATCATCTGCAGGCCTGTGGTCCTTACAGTTTCTACAGCACCTCTGCCCAAATTTTTTCTGCTTGAAGAAGTTGCATGGGGCTATTAACTAAAGCCCTAATATCAGGGAAAGCTGGGCTGCATGGGTTGCATGGGTTGCATGGGTTGCACGTGTTGCATGAATTGCATATTTGCTCCTCATTCTCTGCTTCCGTGACCTGGGGCAAGTGAAAATAATCCCTGTTCGTGGGTTTTTAAAGTTAAAACCTGGAATACTCACTTGCTACAGTTATAAGGCTGCAAGAGCTGATGGATGTAATGTGCCCACTGTAGTCGACACTTAACAGACCCCACATACACAGAAAGAGGTTGCCCATTCGGTCTTCCAAATAGTCAATACAGCAGACAAAGTAGGGCCATTGACTCCTTTGAGGGAATGAAGGTAAAGGTTGGAGAGACTAGCTTGATCAGGATCACAGAAAGAATGGCAGAGACCAAACATGATCAAAGACTGCCCTAACCCCCACGTTCTTCATGCCTCTCTAATGGGGCACAAGGCATGATGCAGGTGCCTCTGGAGCACAGAGCTGTATCAGGAAACTCAGAGTCACAGGTGGAGGGTCCACTTTACAGTCAGGTCACACCCAGAACAGATGCTGTGTGTAGTCTCTTCAGAATCACACGAAACAATGGATGGGCCAGAAATGCCCCCAGTCTGTGTGATGTACATGTTTGTGTATGGGCATGCTAGGGCCCTATGGCAGTCAGGAGTCCCCTCATGTAGAGAGGTCCTAGAAGCCAACCAAGAACAAGGGGAAAAAGTGAGAGGAGTTTATGTCCTTGTTTTTGTGTGTGGTTCCCGCATGGGTCAAGGGTAGGGCTGAATTTCGATTACTGGGAAATTTGCTGCCTGAACCATGGTCCATGCAAGCTCAATACAGGAATGGCTGTTGTTGAAGGGGAAGTAAAGAATACTCTCCCCTCTACCTCTTGAGCAAGACCATTGCCAATGTGTCCTCCTTCTGTATGACTTCTTCTGACTTCTTCAGGGAAGTGGCTGACCCCGTTTGATCCCACCTTCACGGAGGAGGACACTTTCCACCTGCACAAGTACAAGACAGTTAAGGTGTCCATGATGTACCGGGCAGGCAACTTTGCCTCCACCTTTGATAAGAATTTCCGTTGTCACGTCCTCAAACTGCCCTACCAAGGAAATGCCACCATGTTAGTGGTCCTTACAGAAAAATCCGGTGACCACTTGGCCCTGGAGGACTACCTGACCACAGACCTCATAGAGACGTGGCTCCAGAATATGAAAACCAGGTACAGTGCTTCCCCTGCCTCACACAGACTTGGCCTCTATCCTTATGAACAGTCCCAGTTTCACCCAGTGCCCTGTAGCTTACTCCCCAGTGAGCTCCCAGATCTCAAGAACCAGAGGTGGCATCTGTCCTGTTTTTCACTCTATCCTCAGCATCTGTCCCAGAACCTGGCTTGATCATTCATTTACTCACCAAATACCTAGGAAGTTTCTCCCACTGAGATATCGACTGAGGCCAGGGTTGAATCAGTGACCAAGCCAGGCAAAGGGAGATAGACACCACAAGACAGGGCATGTCAGCAGGTGCAGGCAGGGCCAGGGAAGGCTTCATCTGATGATGAGTTAATTATATGGATCTCTCTGAGGAGAGGCATGTTAGAGGCAGAAGTGGGAAGGTTCTGAGGAACAGCAAGATGGTCAGTGTGGCTGCAGCCACAGGGCCCAGCCACCCAGGATCCCGCCTCATAAGTTCAGCAAAGACATATGTGGTTTTTGCCTGAGGGAGATGGGGAGCCACAGAGGGTTCTAAGCAGGGGCCAGAGGAGAGCTGATTAAAGGATCACACAGTCAGGAGGGTGCTGTAGGAATACAAGAAGATGCCAGTTTAGACTATGGTGGTGGCAGGGGAGGTGACAAGAGGTAGTCAAACTGGATCTGTTAGGAAGAAAAGGTTGATAAATGTGCTGACTAGATATAGGATGGGGTGGGGAGAGAAAGATCCAGATAGATTAAGTTAGTCAGAGGTGATTGGGTAAGGTTTGTTAGCATCAGAGAAGGTGCAACTGTATTGGGGGGGCACTCCAGGTGGAGAAGAGACAAAAGCCCACAGGAGGCACGCAGGTGTTCATCCCAGCAGTCAATCCATCGCTGAAATACCTGGTGGGTAGCTGCAGCAATGGTCCATGGCTGTTTCTGAGTCCCGCCATCCCCGAACTGATGGCAGAGAGGAGCTCAACTGAAGGTCTCTGCTGTGCATCTCACCATCGTTAGTTTCATTGTTCCTCAACACTTTAGCACTAGTGGAGGGCACAGACATAAGCCTCAACAAGTGTTTGCTGACTACATTTATGAGTTAATCTTTAGGACACGTGAAGCCCGCAGTCATATTCCAACCTGAGTTTGGCCCAGCTACCCAATGGGGGGGGGGGAGAGAG